AGATGATGAAGTTGAAGTGATGCCGTCTGAATTACAAGATGAAGATTTAAATGTTGATTTCTTTGATGGTCTTAAAGCATTCACATCCACCACCATTTAAGAACAAATAAAAAAAAGTATATAAATAATATAGTTTTCTTTTCTTAAACTTTTATTAATGTATTACACTATTATTCATTATGATATTGTTCAAAAATATTTAGGGAAGAGAAAGATAATTAATAATGAGAAAGAAGAAGCTGATTGGGAGATATTGGACTCTATAGGAGAGGGGGAAGAGGAGAGAGTAGTTCATCATAATGATGATTCAAATGAAGACCCCCTTAGTGATGACTGATGAGTGATGACAGTGCTGATCACTAGTGAGTTCTTATGTGATATGTCTCCCTTATTTATTCTCACAGATGTGGTAAGTAGCATTTTATATTTTATATATTATTTAGTCATTAATATATACAAAATTTATTATTTTATGTTTACGCAATTTTTTGATTTTGAGGCTTACGCCTCGCCTCACGAACGAAAAACGCCTCAATACCCGAATACGCAATTTTAAACGTTGCCTAAGAGAGAGAAATGAAAATGGGAATACTCATCAGAATTTTAACTTTTATTTTTTTACTAAAAAAATTTTGAGATGTAATAAATTATATTTTAAAAAAATCATAAATAATTCTTGATTTTTAACATTTTTTAAATAGACACGTCGGAGGCGTGTCGTGTCAAATACATGTTGGACACTGCATACCTATTTGAGGAGAAATGTCGGTGCATCATAGATCTTCCATAATACTCTTACATATAAATCTTCCAAAGAAACTTTTCCCTTCAATCCTATATAATTCACTACATATGTTCCACATATTCCTTTGACCCCACAAATCTTAGAACAATTCTCAATTCAATAACATAGGCCAAAATTTTAAGATCCTTCCCACTTAGATGATGTTCCTTATAAGGATGTTTATAATCACATTCTTATTACTGATGATGAAATGGGACACTTGAGCCTCATTATGAATGACCAACATCTAAATTTGTTAATGTGCCTAAGGTTGAGTATGAGAAATTATCATATGTTAAGCTATAGTTTATTTTTCATGAAGTGTTTGAGCCTAAGAATGTTGTTGAGCAAGAAAAAATGTGCCTTGCAGTGTTTGTTGATTATGATGTTGAGATAACTTTAGATTTACAAAAACCTATTGTTTATCTTCTCCAACTCCATGTATGGATTCTTTCTATAATTCAGTTGCCACTATCTTAGGATACATTCGTTGACTCTAAATGCTACAACTTGCTTTAGTCGTACAAACCAGAGATTTTGTGATGCCATTATCACAATTGTCACCAAAACCACTCTTGGTCTATATTGCAGAGATCTTGCTGAAGGAGCCTCCCAACATCTAAACCTCCAAATCTATGTATGCTCTTTAGACTTCTTATTTCTACTCCCTGTACTATAGGAGGTGGCAAGGCAGAGAAGGTGACCCCACTAGATCATCTACTCTAAAGGTTTTTTATGGTCCAACTGAATTGATGCAATTTAATAAAAACTAGTTCACATTTAACCCATTTATCCCAATAAGACTGATTTCTCACACACCAACTATAACAATTGGGTCTGCACATCCAAATGAAGTGTACACATGACAAATGATTATTAATATTAAAAGCCAACACAAGAGAGCTGCCTACATCAAGTAAGGCCGACTAAATCTGGTTACTCTGCCCAAGAATAGCTCCCAATAAACAACCCTATGACCCTGAGATGCTTTGCTTGAAAATTTTTCTCCTTGTTGTCACCTTTCAAGTTGCTGCCCATTGGCGCCCACTAATCTACACATTAGGTAATAATAATAATAATAATAATAATAATATAGAATTAAAATAGAAACAAATATATACCAACATTTCCTAAGTTGCTCCAAGTTTACCTATTAGACTCATCAACCTCAAAAAAAAAAAAACATTGAATCACGTAAATTATGCTTGGAAACCTGAATTGAACGCAGTCGGCAATTATTATGAAGTGGTTTTAAGTTCAAAACGAGTCTACAAAATAGGTAAAATAGACAAAGTGTCAACAAGTAGTGCAACAGGAGTAAAGATTGAGATAGAATTTTAGCTATTGGGAAGGGAAGAGTTAGACAGAAAAAAAACTTGTGAGATTAAGAGGAGAAGAGAATTGAGAAATTAGAAGAACGAATGACCCAAAGAAAGCAAATCGAGGAGATGGAGAGATGAGGCATAAAAACCCCTCAAAGAGGAATCAACCCCGAGCGAGGACACCTAAAAGATATATATATATTCCATCAACAGCCTTCTAAAATATTTATAAATAAAGATTTGAAACACCAAAACAAATCAGTTTATTTATGTTTGCTCCTATTATGTTGCTTCGGGAATAGTTATAACCATATGAACAAAGGTTTTTTTTTCAAAACTGGAAAATGAACCGCAGTGATTGATAGGTTGTGCTTGGTTTCATGTTTTAATAGTTTGATTCAATTTCATAATTTAATGGTTCTGTTTTGAATTGTAGTAGACTTCAGTTCAGTTTCAAACATATTTTGGCTTAGAACCAAACGGAATAGTGCCCATCCCAATTAATAAAACTTCTAGTTACTAATTAACACTCTTGTATAGGTCATAAAGGTTCAAAACATGCCAAATTATAGCTAGAAACTGTTAAGAGATTCATTTCATCTTTAAGGTCATATATACAATAATATTAATATGCCTAGTAGATGGAGGGCAAAGAAGACCTCCGTACAGGGGGCACGAGCCATCAATGAGATATGGCTCTGAAAGAGCTAGAATTCTAACATTGTGTCAAAACCTACGGGCTTAGGGACAATATTAAGTAGACAGTTTTTTATGGAGCATAGATCTCCCAAAAAGTAAAGGAGGCATGCAAAGGTTTCCTCGAGTAGGATAGAGATTGGCCCTCGAGTACACTTCATGGTGATTTCATCAGGAAAGGCTTCTTGTAGTATTGTCAATATACTAATAGAGAATGCTTAGATTAGCTTCGCAGAAGATAATCCTATGGTCTATATTTTGTTTCAGATGAAGTAGTGAAAGGCAAATGGAGTTCCAGCTGAAAGAAACCTTCTCTCTGTCTCGCAGATATGAATTCAGGACTGAAGAATTTTAAATGTATGTAACAGTGAACATATCACTCTCCAACATCCTACTTAATCGTGGAGAAGTGTTCTCCCACACAGCCTTAACATTTCACTGCTATTTCTAGGCTCCATTCCCAAATATGCCTCTATTCAGTCACTCAAAATTTCAAATAATTTTCTTCCAAAGTAAGCAGGGAAAGGAGATCATATTTCTTTCAGATTCTTATTCAATATAATTATTTCAGTTTCATTTCATCTCGAATGATTTAATTTCAACAAAGGAGACCCTTAAGGTCTAGTTATGGGTTCAAGCGCATGCGTGTATATTCTTCAGCAATAAGAGATTCCTCCCAAACTAATGTAAACTATTTGACTTGCCTTAAGGAATTATGTTATATAATAATATCAATCGCAAACCAGCCCGTTTAATTGATTTGAATGGATTAGGTTATTCATTGGCATAACATGCAACTTTTTGACTAAATGTTCTGGCAACTCACCTAAATATTCTCAGAAAGTTTATGACAAATTTATACAATCAATGATGGTTAAATTTTGTATTTAAAGAACTAAAAAGAAAAAAAAATACCTAAATAATCCTCAACATCAGCCTTCACAATGCGTCCATCAGGACCCGTGCCTTTAAGGCTTGAAAGGGGAACCTACATGGTCGAAGAAATTTTTTCTTATTAAGATAGGTGATATTATAAGAAAAAAGATATTTTGTTCACTAATATTATGCACGCTAGATTTCAAAATCATATAAAGTTGTCCTTGGGGTTGCAATATTTAAAAAGGTAGCATAAAATACACTAAATGCATATCTTACATTGTTATCCTCTGCTAATTTTCTTGCTAAAGGACTCGAGAAGATGCGATCTTCTGAATGTGGAGTTGCTTCAGCCTGTGAAACCCTTGGCTCAGGAGCTTTAGCTGGTTCCGGCTCCTCAGATGAAGCTGTAATTGTCTCAGATGGTGCCTTTGCTTCAGCCGGCGGTGCAGAAGAAGCTGAGACTTCGTAATTTTTAAATTCTGCAATATCTTGCTCTTCCTCCACAGTTATAGCAATCACCTGATTGAGGCAGGAAACATAAAAAAGAAATCCAAAAAAAAGTAAAAAGTTAAAAATAATCCCTCAATTATTCGTATGTAGCCAATTTAATTTCGAAGTATTATGTTCCTCTAATTTAGTCTCTTGACTTTATAAACTAGGTTCCAAAAATCCCTTAGGAACTAAATTGGATCAATTTTTAATAATTGATGAACTAAACAGACCTTCCAATGGCCCGGTTAGGAAAGTTGAGGTATTAGACTCGACTTATGCTAAGAAAGGTAGAGGTAGACCTAAAAAGACTTGGCTAGTAAATATTAGAAATGATCTATCTTTATTAGATTTAAATGAGAATTTGACTTTTAACCGGACACAATGACGAAAAATGATTCATGTAGCCGACCCCACATAGTGGGATTTCTACCTGAGAGACTATTTGGGATCAATTTTATATAGTCAAGGGACAAAATTAAAGAAATGGGATACTCTAGGATTAAATTGACCACATACAAATAATTGAGAGACTATTTTGTGCTTTCTCCAATTAAAAATAAAAAATTGAAAGCCAAACTTCATTAGAATGGCTGAAAATGGAACTTCATCAGAATAGCCAATCAACAAGCCTCAATAACGCTTCAAGTAAAATTTTCAGTCACTACAACAATATTTCAAAAAAAAATTGAAAAAAAAGCACAAATTACTTGATGAAGGAACTTCACAAAAAAGTTATTAACAGAAAAATAATGATCAATTCCCGTAATTTATGGCGTTCAAAGCCCTGATGTGCAACAGATGTTTCTGATGAAAAGACATATGCGCATGTTGCAACAAAATCTCGTCTTCATTTGCATGACCTTTGCAGAATAATCATTCTTTTCATTAAATGCGCCTTTTATTGGCAGCAAATGGCTCCTCTAATAATCTATTGATTAATCTTGGTTGACCTAAAGATAATGAGGTGTTGGGCAGCACAGCAACAGAAGGGAAAAAACGAAAAAATCCACAGCAACTTGCAACTGGCGAGGCAGTTGATGGGACGTAATAAAAGACACTGCCATTTTGAGTAACTCTAATTCAGTTCTCAATCTGTTAAGGAAATATTTTATCTTATTAACCAAGAATAGGTGCCTATAACTAGGCAAACACGAGGAACAAAACTAAAAAATTAATAATTATAAAATATTCATATTTATGATGATATAAACAGGTATTGCTCTAATAAATTTTTTTCTAAAATATGACTTTCTTAATATGCCAATGTTCCCCTTAAGTTGAAGCATATATATTTACTAGCTCAAATTTATAGTATAGCCGAGAAAACAAAGATTTGTTAGGGTCATGATAAAGATATCTGCAATTGTCAGATTTGAAATGTTAGGTGTAGTAATAATTTTGGAAAGCATTGCATCTCCTATGAAATTTCATAACAATCAACTTTAACATGTTAAGTACATCCATGAAAAATAAGACTACTCATAATATAGATGACATCATAATAGCCACAATATAATGCCATAGACTAACAGAAAGAAAGACAAGCTCTTTTAAAAAGAGTTTTTACATCATTTCACATGGTGAGTCATAGCAGTGCATTAAGCCTCATCTCTAAACCTAGCCAGCATAGTTTGTTTCTTACTTTTTTAGATGCCTAAGCTATCTCTAACAAAAGCATAATATCCTGCAGCAAACTTGATGTCTTAATCAAATTTAGAGTAATGAAAAAATACTTCAATATTAAAGTTCTCAACATGATGAGTATGTAAATTTTTTATCTCCATTCATTCATGTTGAATGCTTCAGATGCTAACGTTAGTGCACGTAACCAGCGGCTTTAGGTAAGTTATACATTTAACTTGACAGCATAAATGAATTATAGCAATAAAAACAACAACAAGCCTTTATCCCACTACATGTGATTGGCTACATAACTCATTTTTTCTCCATTGTATCCTATTAAGAGTCAAATTCTCATTTAAATCTAATAAAAAAAGATCATTCTAATACTTTCTAACCAAGTCTTTTTAGATCTACCTCTACCTTTCTTATCATAAACCAGATCTAATACATCTACTCTCATAACCGGTTATCGGAAGGCCAACATTTTATGTGATCAAACCATCTAAGACGACTCTCTATAATCTTATATGCCACTGGAGCTACTCCAACCTTTTCACAAATATACCCATTTTGCATTGTGTCTAAGAGAAAAATCATTCATCTACCTAAGCATCCTCATTTATGCAACACTTAACTTAATTTTATGCTTCTCTTGTGATGGCAAACATTCTATTCCATAAAGCATTGCAAGTCTCACCACCGCTAACAGAATTTTCACTTAAATTTGAGGGTACTTTGCTATCATATAATAGGCCCGATGCATTCCTCCACTTCAACCATCAACTTGAATTCTACTAATAATATCTCCATCTATCTTACCATCACTTTCAACAATAGATCTGATATATCGAAAAAGTGTACTCTTTTTAATGACTTGATTGTCCAAAGTTATTGTCGCCCCCTAAATCTACTACTACTAAAATTACACTCCATGTATTCACAATTTTAAATCTGCTCAAATGAAAATCTTTAGACTCTAAGGTTGACCTCCATAATTCAAGTTTTCCTTGAACTCCCTCTCTAATCTTATCAACAAAAAGAATGTTATCAGTAAAAAGCATACACCACGGTACATCCTCTTGTAGTAAGAACATCCATAACTAAAGAAAAAATATATGGGCTTAAAACTGATCCTTATATAATCCAATTGAAATAGAAAATACTTGGTCAACACTTTGTGTTTGAACAAAATAGCTCTAGCTCCTGGATAGATATCCTTAATGACTTGAATATAACCATTATTAACTTCTTTCTTTTCTAGAACTCTCCATAGCACTTCTCTTGAAACTTTATCATATGCTTTCTCTAAATCAATAAATATCACATGTAAATTCTCCTTATTCTCTCTATACTTCTCCATCAAACCTCTCAATAAATGTATAACAAACATAAAAAATGTAAAGGGAAATACCCCCAATGGATTCATTATTGAATATGAAGTAAAAAAAATACTTAACAAAAAAAATTATGCAAAGTGTGTGAATAGACAATTTGCATACAAAAAGTACCTTCGAGGCAATGACCGAATGTTTCAAAGTTAAAAAGAAAATCAAATTTGTTTATACCTCTCCCACTTTTATGTTCTGGGCACCATCCCCTTTAATAATCTTAGCAAGATAGCCTTCTTCCATGCATTCCATTTCCACAGTGGCTTTATCCTGTAAAGAGAAGATGTAACAATCAAGATATATAACAGACAATGTATTGAATAATAAACATGTTCACAGATGTGCTAGTATCCTACAGTTTCAACTTCACAGAGCACTTCACCAGGAGAGATTTTATCTCCTTCCTTCTTCAACCACCTTGCAATGTTTCCCTGTTGATGATGTTGTGGTAAGCTTAAAATTCATGCCATAAATACTTGGCATTTGGCAATACAACATATATGTACCTCTGTCATGGTAGGAGAAAGGGATGGCATTCCAATTTCCTGATGTGGAGGAAGGTCTGAATTAGGATGACAAAAAGCACCTTGAGTACTCTCATGGAAATCGATAGCCAATAGTAATAATCAGAAAGGAGTGACTTTTGTCATGTAGATAATTTAGACTTAGGAGAAGAAATGAGCAAAGACGATGACAACGACAACAACACATCAAGCCTTTATCCCACTATGTGGAGTCAGCTACATGAATCATTTTTCTCCAATGTGTCCTATTGAGAGTCGGATTCTCATTTAAATCTAATAAAACATATCATTTCTAATAGTTTCTATCCAAATCTTTTTAGTTCTACCTCTACCTTTCTTAACATAGACTAAATCTAATACATCTACTCAAAATGAGCAAAGACATTAAACAAAAAACCAAATCATATTCCATGGACTAGTTAGTTACATATAAACAAAGTAAACTATCTTCTCCATCAGATGACCAATAGCACAAGATAGAAATCAAAATGAGTCGGGCTTGCCTGCCACATTGTCATATAAAAACTAACTAATGTGCAAGAAATTTGACTGATTCTTCATCCAACATACTTGCTTTCAAAAAATTTCTGTAAAATTGGCAACTGGATAGCTTTTATGTAGAACATAGCTGAAAATGCAAGCTTGTCCTTTGAACTGAAATCAGCATAACACAAACCAATATGAATTGGTTTATACAAGGAGTTGCACTATACAATGGAGTTTGCCTCCAAGCTCATGCCACACATACAAGAAATAACACAGCTTTTAACCCAGCAACCATGCACCAAAAGCTTAGTCCTTGCCACCACTAAGTGAAGGAGAACAAAAAAAATGGATCAAATCTGATGAGGACCAAAGCTAGCGGTTGTAACATAGAATGACCAAGAAAAAATCAAATAATGAATGTAGAACCACAGCTAACCACTGAATCGAATGGAATAAAACAGAAAATGAGCCAAAGGTGCAGAAGATGTAGATAAACTATTATGAACGTATGATAAAAAGGAAATTTAGAATATTGTTGTAAAATAAGACACAGCTTTAACTATTAGTGATTAAAAAACATTCAAAATATTCAGAAAAAGTAGCTCATCAGGAAAACTTAGCACATAAGAAGATGAACGTCAGGCTGCATGTCCTTATTTATTCATTCCGTTATTAGGTACTATAAAAAGATAGTAAACAATATCTAAAAAATCTTTAATATTCTTCTCAAGTAGTTAAATTTTAGTTATTGATGTACTACTTTGACCCTCTTTTCTGTTTCTTCGCACCATAAATAAATAAATACAAATAAACAGCTTGTAAATTGGTATTTTCATTGAGAATTTGAGCCATTAGAACTTTAAAAAAAAAAAGATATTTTATTTTTCATGATCTGATGCCCAAAGCATAAGGATGCTTCTTCTTTAGTCCTACTTGAAATTAACGGTTAGATTAAATATCCACTTCAGGTAATCGTAACTCTATTAATTGTATCATCAACAAGAACCTCATATTTTGTACGATAGAACTACAATACCAAAACCTACAAATAACTATCAATTAATCATTTCTCATCACTAAATGACCATGATCATTTTCTAATTTAATAAAGTTGCATCTCATGACATCAAAATTTTGGTCTACTAAGCATATAAGCCCCTTGACATCCGAATTTTCCTATATTTCCTTTTGTTTAAACACCTATTAACACCATTTCAAGTAAAAACATCATACATTTTGAATATTTGTCCTAAGCACATCAAAGACAGCTAAAAAAGAAACTACTTAATGTTTATCAACATTGCCAAAATTATAAATTCTTTAGTCATTCTTCAAATCATTGCTACATCATACATTTCTCTAAAAACTTCAATTTAATGCCAATCCATGCATTTTTCAGCTCAAGCATGACAAATAAATTATTGAGTTATACTATCACATGCAATTTCAAGGCTAATGAAAAGCATATGAAGAAAAAAAAACAATTCACAAAATTGCATTATAGCATGCGATCATAAAAGACAAGCCTCTAAGTGTGACATTTCAGTAGAAAATTGTGCTCTGGTAGTAGAACGAACCAGTATTTAACTGATAGAGAATCGTTTTTATCAATCCTTCTAAGCAGTTTTATACAACTCATAAAAACAGCATCCGCAGGCTGCCCAGACAACTTCATCTTATACAATTAATTGTCATGAAAGATATAATCAACATACGAACCTGATTTGGCTGAATAGTTTCTCATTGATGCTGCATGTGGACTGAAAAAATAGAAAGTGATCAACATTTTACCAAGGAATCAGTCCTTCAATGAAATGATACATGATAACTTACCCTGAGACAATACTGATGAAATGAAAGCTAGACACAGGGATTCTCGTTTTAATTGTGTTACTAGTCAAATGAGATATAGACAATACTGTGGAAGAAGCCTGTATGAAGCAACAGCAAAACATACAAGTTAAACATTCAAAATATGGCAAGAGAAACTGCGGAGAGGAAAATGTGATGTCATGCAACTAGCAGCAGTCATGAATGCAGTAAGATACTAAATTAATTATGTTGGTGATAACCTTGGTTGTTGGGGAATATCCGACAGCTACGCTGGCCTCAGCATTTCCTTTTCCTAGCAAACCATATCCACAGCTCCTTAGCAACTCAAACATAAACATGACCAGTTAAAACACATGTACAAGTGTAGTGTATGGTGCATACTAGGGTATCAAAAACCACCCATCGTCCATACCCACACAAAAAGCCAATAGCTTAGGAAGGAAAAAAAATCAATTGCAGCAAAATGTACTTGCACATGCATGAATGTAAGAAAGAGAAAGATGGACTTGCAAAAAATTTCAACACAAATTGGGCTACAAACTATAATCATCTAGATGAATATATGCACAAAAAACTCAAAATTTAAGGTCCTTCTGCAATGAAACATTAGAAAGGAAAAAAAAACTGCTTACCAACTCCTCTGCTAACAAAAGCAGCAGCAGCATCAGAGGAAAAAGAGACAGCGGAAAAAGGCCTATTTTGTAGAATATTTTGAGCATTCTTGAGCTGCAAAAGCATGAGGTGAAATTATATACAATCTAGCACAAAAAACAACATAATAATAATACTAAAATAATTCAATTGCACGTTTAAGGAAAAAATGGACGGTTATAATAGTGATAGAGATTAATGCTTAGCTCTTTGTGATGCCTTGGAGAATGGCTATTGTCAACGGTGATATTTTAGCTTTACATAACCAACCAAACCATAGTTTCATAAACCAACAAGCAGCTTCAGAGAACAAGGATAATATCCAAACTCATAAACCAAAAAGAACTCCGGATTGGGAGGCTTTCCCAAAGAAAAAGAACAAGGGAATTCATCATTACTTCAATTTTTGCCTAAGAAAGAATGGGAGAACAAATATAATAGTTCATAATTTTGCTGCACTATCTATGAACCTTCTTGAACAGTATTGGTGTTATTTTGACCTAATAGCAACACAGAAATCAGCCCAACACACACAGAATAGGTTAATTAGAACCTGTTCCATAAGCATTTAGAGAAAGTTGTGGCTGTAATTTTTCCAAAAACCAATTATTTGGGTTGGTTCTTGTTATTGGGTTCAGTTCACCCAAACTAACCCGCAAGGCTCCTCTAAATTTCCCAAGCAAGTACGGTCCAATATAAAGCTTTTGACTTGAGTCACATGTGTACAAGATGAGAATAGAAAACCAGTAAAAAGTTTTGCATTTGTATTTTGTAACAAGTCAACAAACGATATACAATTTGTACATAATTTATCAATACACTAAAAACTTGAATAAGTTTTAGAAAACAAATTATACCCCAAAAATGAACCAGCCCAAACTGTTACTTTTTAGACTAGCATAAAGAAGCCTCCTAGCAAAAATACTAGCCATTTTCATATATGTTTTTATCTTTTTTATTTCATAAACAATCTGCATTAAGTTTATTTCCCAGCTTGTTGGCATCTTAAGTCGCCTATTGTAAATGCCCGAAACACCTAATTTTATCCTCCTTTATATTAACCATAATAAGTGCTACTCTTACTGAGTTACCATCCTCCAATATAATCATTTTACTTTATAAATCCCTATTGCATCAAACAGCCATCTTAATATCCTTATTTCTAAGATACTAAGCGTAACAGTGCGCATTTTTTGGTCAACATTCGAAGTCATATGGTATGCTGAGTATCTTTGTGATATTTATCTTTAAGGCTTTGTCTAGCAATGTTGTTTAGTTTTTGTTTTGTGCAATTTGCTACAAATAAAGCCATAGTAAAGCTTATAGGAAGAACATGCTGCTTTTTTATTGTGTTAGTCATTATTATATGTAATAACCAAACGTGTGAAATGAATTTATTTGAAAAACATGAAAATTCTGAAGTAGAGCGCTGTGGTGCTAGGCACTAACAGTATTTTCATATATTTTTTATTATAAATATCCCTGCCCCACCCAACTGCCTCCCTTACTTTGTTGCTTAGCCAGGAAGAAATTGAAGTAGGAGAAGAATAGTAAGGATAGAGAAAAACCTTTGGGTCGTATTTATCCTTCATTTCTATTACAGATTTTGTTCAATTCGTTGTAAGTAATTATCTTCTTAATTTTGTTTTCAATAATTTTGATTTCTCTGAATTTATCTATCCTAAATTTGTCAAAAATGTATCTTCTGATTTCATAAGCTTTCACCATATAACTTTTGATATGTTATGGATTTGATCATTTTGAATAATATCTGAATAATATGATATGATTTTATTGTATTTTCACCAGTTAAATATGTGTATAGGAATTTTGGGATTAAATGAGTAGGGAAAAAGACATTGAAAATAAGTTGAAAAGTGTTGTACTGTGATATGGCATGATAAGCCGGCAAGGTAATGTGTACTAAAATGATTAATATGATTGAGTTATGCAAGAATGTAATATTGCTACAAATCTGAATCATATATGATATACTGATATATAACATGATAACCTCATGTGATATCCTCAAAATCCACATGGTTCACTGGCGAGAGTCAGTGGATGAGAGTCATAAGGAGCTGAAGATTAATTGAGAGTTATAAGAAGTCAGGGTGACTATCACATATTTCAAGGGTAGTTGTAAGGAGTTTTGATTGGGAGTAATAAGGGTGGACTAACTGGGAGTCATAAGTGCAAAAGCAAGATCAAGATATCATCTTTTAAATATCTAATTATTGTATTGATACTGTTTATTATCATTAATTACTCCTTATTGTTATGATATTGTAGCTCACATTGTATTGATACTAACTATTGTTACTTATTAATGATTTTCGTTACTGTTACTGTGACTGACGCTGAGAATATTGATCTTAATATTATTACTGATATTATGACTAGCACTAATACTACCTACTGCTATCGTGACTGATGATGTAATTGACTAAGATGTGATGTATTATAAATTGATTTTTGATATGCGTTGATGCATATATGTCTTGATATGATTTACAGCATACCGTCTATTTTGCCTTGCATTGATTTCAGTTGTAAGATTTTGGTTACTTGTCGGCTATGTATTCATTACGTGATTTTACATGTTTTCAGAAAATAATAAGAATCCTATGATATGTGGCTCTGGACAGCGCGCATAATTCTTTTCACTGTTCACAAAAAATTGATAAGCTCAACTAATTGGCTAAAATGAAAGACAGATATAATTCTTCCAATATAGATCTCGGGGCATGGTATATTATAAAACCATGAAAGAGGCATGCACAGTATAATACTTTATGTTACACATTACCCACACAAATTAAAATTGTGGAACTTCAGATTTTTCAAAACAAAGCACTTGAACAACATTCATAAATCGTCATCATATTCCCTCATCACATGTAATCTCCGAGAAACTTCTCCATTTTAACAAAAAAATCTACACCGAAAATCAAATTTTCAACTACCACTCCATACTAGTTATAATAAATCTAAGAAAATTAAAACCATCACTTCACGTTCTAAAACTATTGATTACCATAATATTGCATGCATATTCAACAACTACTCTAATAATTGTAAGGTCTCCTGCTTCTCAAACAATTAGCTAATATCAATAAATCTCACTTAACAAAACAATTTCACATACAAATAGCATACACTAATTCCTCTGAATAAATCTTTTATAAATTTCAAGAATTAATCTTTTATAAACATATCTATAGCCATAAAAAAATAATATGGATTTGCTCATCCTTGATATGACTACTTTGATAGAAAGCTCATAATTCATTCCACAATCACTTTTACTGATGGTCAGTATAGCATCATACACAAATTTAATAACTTCAGCATGCCATTGATTCACTCATTTTTCCAAGTAAAGCCTAACAAAATAATTTTCAAAAAAATACTACATTCTTGTTGCTCTTTATACTTCTCTATTAACAGCCGTGACACAAAAATCAGCTTAATAAGAGGTTACTTTGGTATAAAACCAAATTAATTAGCTAAATTTCACAAGGTTTTTTTAAGCATATATTTCTCATCACCATCTCCCATAACTTCACTGTTCATAGGATTTATTTAAAGATAATTATCAAATACTAAGCATCTCCTTCAATCTTAAAACTCAATAACCAAATATTTTTCCGTAATCTTTTGGATTTTTTTTTATTTTTTTTGTATCTAGATTTCAATAAAAAAAACTACTAACCAAACTACTCCATAATATCATTTAACTCTCATAAAATGTCTCTTCTAAACCAACATCTTTAAACTTACATATGCATTTCACAACCTATTCTTTTTTCTTATAAAACTCTTGTTTTATCCAAATAGCGAGTTCTTCTTTCTATGAAATCTTTAAATTCAACTAAAATTCTATTATATCAACATTTAATTTAATCAAACTCAATATCACATTCCTCTTCACTATTTTACATTCCTTAGCTTTTTTTCCTTCAGTAATTCCTAACCAACCACACAAATCATCACGACTTCTAGCATAGGCTTTAGATATTATCATCTTCACAAGACCTCTAACTTCTTACAACTGCGATATATAACAACAATAATTAGTCTTCGCCATTCTTTAAAGTACGTTTATTTTTCTTAAAAATATTTTATACCTCCTCGATCCACCAACACATCTTCTTATTAAAGTATGGTAAACTTTTAATTTCTCATGCAATTTCCATAGCAACCTTCTAACTATAACAAACCATTTTGCCTACATTATGTTTGGTTTAGCTTGAAGATCCAATTTACCATTTTTATAATTGCGTCTTACAAGATTAACAACATATATAACATCTTTCTTTCGAAAAATCATATATATATATATATATATAACAACTACTCTAAATATTCTAATCAAGTCTTCTCTTCTAAAAACCCCTTCAAAACTTTACAGAAAAAAAAAATATTGATGAGTGAGAAAAGAGTATTTGCAATTTAACAAGTCAGCTTTTAAACTAGGTGGTTATCTCATTTGTTAAGTAAATGTCATATTATCATAACTAATGCAAAATCAAGGTCATGCTTTGATGTGTTTTTAGCGCATTGTACTAAATAAAACCAGCACTCTCATGTAGAATTACTAGCTACTCCCAAAGTTAGATCACGTGTTGATGAAGTAAGAGAATATGAGCATGCAAAATATAAGTTTTCTAAGCATATTTTTCACATAAGCCAAAGCAACCTGTCAATTTTCAAAAAAGGTTACTCAAAATAAAAGTTGTACCAATCAAACAATAAGTATAGCTTCTCCCATATGTCAATAGTAGAACCTAACTGTTCATTTTAGCCACTAATAACAATTGCCATCTATTTCTCAGGCATATATTATAGTTTCATCCAGTTCTCCCAGACTAATTATAAAAAATTTTCTCTAATCCAATTTAAGGTGCATATAAGCACTAAGCACATTTATAATGAATTCACCAATAACTAGCAAACAACAACATCAAGCCTTTATCCTACTCCATGGGGTCGGCTACATAAATCCTTTTTCCTAGTGAGTCCTGCCAAGGGTCAAATTCTCATTTAAATCTAATAAAGAAGGGTCCTTTCTAATATTTTCTAAGCATGTCTTTTTAGGACCTCTACCTTTCATAACATAAATCAAATTTAATATGTTTACTCTCCCAACCAATTCATTGGAAGGCCTCCATTTTATATGACCAAACTATCTAAGACGACTCTCTCTAATCTTATCTTCCACTGGAGCTACTCCAACCTTCTCACATACATGCTCGTTTTGTATCTTGTCTCTAAGAGTAAAGCCACTCATCCACCTGAGCATCCTCATATCTGCAACACTTAAATTAATATTATGCTTCTCTTTTAATGGCGAACATTCTGCACTATAAAGCATTGCAGGTCTCACCACCATCTTATAGAATTATCCCTTAAGTTTGAGAGGGACGTTTATATCACACAACAAGCCCGACGCATTCCTCCACTTCAACCATCCAACTTGAATTCTACTAGTAATATCCCCATTTATTTCACCATCTCTCTGAACAATAGACCCAAGATATTTAAGATGTGTAATCTTATTAATGACTTGATCGTCCAAAGTCTCAATCCGCCCACTAAATCTATTACTAGTAAAATTACACTACACATATTCAGTTTTAGATCTACTCAAATGAAAACCTTTAGACTCCAAGGTTGAACTCCACAATTCAAGTTTACCTTCAACTCCCTCTCTAGTCTTATCAACACAAAGAATATCACCAACAAAAAGCATATATCGGGGTAAAACCTCACAGATGTCTAGTGAGAACATCCATGACTAAAGCAAAAAGATATGGGCTTAAGGTTGATCCTTGATATAATCCAACTGAAATAGGAAAATAGTTTGTCAAACCACCTTGTGTTTGAACACAAGTAACAGCTCCAGCATACATATCCTTAATGACTTGAATATAAGCATTATTAACCCCTTTCTTTTCTAGAACTCACCATAGCACTTCTCTTGTAACTTTATCATAGGCTTTCTTTAAATCAATAAATATCATACATAGATCCTCCTTATTCTCTATATACTTCTCCATCAAACTTCTCAATAAATGTAAAGCTTCCAAAGTAGACCTGCCTGACATGAATCCAAATTGATTTTGAGAAACATTAATATCACGTCGCAATCTATGCTCCATAACTCTCTCTTGTAGTTTTAAAATATGACACATTAACTTAATTCCTCTATAATTTGCACAATCTTGTGTATCACATTTATTCTTAAAATTAGGAATCAACACACTCATTATCCACTCATCTGGCATCTTTTTTAATCTTCAAAATAATATTAAAAAGCTTAGTAAGCCAAGAAATTCCTTCATCTCATAAGCATTTTCACATCTCTATTGGAATATCATCAAGTCCAATAGTTTTTCCACACTTCATTAACGCCTCTCTAACTTCGGTTTTACTAATACGCCGATAAAACAAAATTCTTTATTTTCATTTAGGTGCTAAGATCACTAAAGTCAATCATATTAAATTGCATAAAACAACATCAAGCCTTTATCCCACTACGTGGGGTCGGCTACATGAATCTTTTTTCTCCATTGTGTCCTATTAAAAATCAAATTCTCGTTTAAATCTAATAAAGAAAGGTCATTCCTAATATTTTCTAACCAAGTCTTTTTAGATCTACCCCTACCTTTCTTAACATAAGTCAAATCT